ACTTGTTTTGTACTTCCCTCCCCCTGAATTATGAGCCGCCCTGAGTCCCCCCAGGGAAAAGGGCGGCATACAAATAAAGCTAAAATCTGAAATCTGAAAAATCTCTCCGGAGATCTGCCAAGGCAGAAGTTGTACTCGGAGGAAACTGCGTCCTGCAAACTTTCTCCTCCATGCTTCCACAGACAGCAGCGTTATCCTCCGCCTCTTCCTTTGCTGGGAAGGGACGCCAGACAGGGAGATGTCAATGATGTTTGGGATTGGGAGAATAATGTCTCCTTTGATGTGCCGTGTACATATACATGCACATGGGCGCGCGCACACACAGACCATTCCAAGCTTGGAGACTTTTATGCACATCTGAGCTTACAAACTGCCTGGGATTAGGGAGAGAAGGCCTCTCCTTCCTCTGTGGATAAAAGTCCTCAAACTTGGAATGGGTGTGAGCATGCACGCTCAGTTGGCTGCCAGCAATCTGGGAGGCAAGTGGCTTCCGGGGCATCAAATTGTTCTCATGTTGAGTTAGCCCAGTGGTTCTCAAATCTATGGGTCGCGACCCCTTTGGGTGGGTTGAACGGTCATTTCACAGGGGTCACCATAGACCATCGGAAAAGACATATTTTCAATGGTCTTAGGAACCGAGACATCGCTAAGCAAACCCTCGTCTCAGCAGCAGGTGGTAATTGAGGTGTTGGTGCTATCGTGGCCCTTCATGTCCCTCGGCTGCCCGCCAAGAACAACCCCCGGTTTACGGAGAGCCTCAGCTTTCTGGACTCCTCCGAACTGAGAAATCAGGCCTGGTTCTTAGCACGGCTTTTTTCACAATCCCCCAGCCCTATCTTGTCTCCGCCCTTCAGGCCTACATGGAGAGATTTCTGGGTCTGTACTAGCTCAGTGTGTCTCCTCTGCCATCGGTGCCTCCTTGGGCGCGGCCAAAGGATTGCTGCCAGACACCAGCCTCTCTGCTCTGGTTGTCGGCCTCTTGCTTGCGGGAAAGCCGCCGGAGCTGTGGGCGCAGTTGCCAGTGTTGATGGGACTGCTTTGCCCGGGGGGGGGGGGGGGCAGAATGCTGTTAAGTTGGCACTGTGTCTGCTTCTTCTTCCTGTAGGGCTCAGGCCTGTTCCTGGCAGGGCTAAGGTGCTTTCCAGTTTCTCTCCTTTACGGATATGCTGGGTGTGCTAGTCAGTCAGAGGGATGGCAGGGCCAGGAATGGAAACTGGTGCCCTCAGGCTCCACCACACATTCTTGGCATCCTCTATGGCACAAGTCCATAGCTGGCATGCACAGGGCCGACTTAACAGTATTATGGGCCCCCTGGGCAAAGCAGTGTTCTGGGGCCCCTACGACGACTACCCACAGGAATAAAAATGTAAATGATAAATAATTTCACAATATATAATTACATATTGTTTTTGCGATTAATCACTATGCTTTAATTANCTGTTCCAAGTAAACCTGCCTTTTGCAATTGATTGATAGATAGATAGATAGATAGATAGATAGATAGATAGATAGATAGATAGATAGATAGATAGATAGATATAGACAGACAGACAGACAGACAGATTTCCTAAGAGATTTAACTTACATCTCTAGACTTACATTTGAATGGACATGGTCAGAATTGCGACTGGATACACCTAAGTGCGCATAGAATATTTCTGAAGATATATGGAGGATTAGGATTAGTAACACATACCTGACCACTGAAGATGTAGTCCAGAATCTCTTTCATGGTCTCCACAGATATCCCTTCAAGTTCAATTTTATACACGGATCCATCATTCTTGGGAGAGTTGTAGTTCAGTTTTGTTCTATAAAAGACAGGCTTTAGTTTTAAAAAAGCAACACGAATAGGGCAAACTAAAAATCACACATGAAAAACATTCCGGCTTCCGAATTGGATTTGGATTTGGATTTATTGCATTTATATGCCGCCCTATTCCTGGAGGGACTCAGGGCGGCTCACAAATCAAAGGAATACAGACAGGGGTGGAAACAACAAGCAAACAACTACAAAAGAATTAAAAGCAATCAACAACCACACAGTTTGAGCGGGGACGGAAACTCGTCAACCCCAGGCCTGTCGGAACAGCCAGGTTTTAAGGGTTTGCTTTTAATAATATCGTCTTCTATGATTGTTCTCAAAAATTCCAAGACACAAGTAGAAAATTCTTAGTTAATAAATATTAATACTTCATGACAATAATTATTTAGATATCCAGGCTTGTGGCATTTAGTATTCCACTTAATGATAAAATTATCCTTTTTCATTTCATTTCTTAAATGTCAGATAGATTGTACATTTGCCAGGTGCATATGGATATCTGAGCATTTGTACAGAATAATTCCAAATTATGTAATGATACATTTCTCCACATGCAACAAATATAAGTAAGTCTATGACTGCGAAACAAGGCCCAGACAACATTATTCAATGTGAAGCAAGCTTTAATACTTCATCAGATATTGCATGAAATGTCCAATTAAGCCAAATAATTAAAGAAACACTCCATATCAATCTTTAAACTTCAGGGACTCACAATCTGTCAGAATCACAGGAATAGTGCAAGCTATTGTAAGTATTACAAACGACAGAAACAATACAAGCAAGCAAGCAACATTTGAATTATTTTATTTGACAGCTAGATTCATATGGAACCTCGGACACTGGGCCTTATCTTGCTAGCCGCCATTTAAATTAGACAAGGTTATTATCCTAGCCATGTCTCTGTTAAGAACTGGTCAAAAGGCCATGCTGTATGTTCTGTCTTGTCAATGAGATCTTGACACAACTTTGCTGTGCTCATTAAAAGAAAAGGATGCTTTGCAAAACATGTCAGCATGTGGGAAACTTTCTTCCTTCAAAGCAGGGGTGTCAAACCCAAGGTCCGGGGGGGGGGGCAAACCCGGCCCGCGGGGTGCTTAGATCCGGCCCGCGGGGCTGCCCCGGAAACAACAAAGGACCGGCACACAGTGCCTCTGCCAGCAAAAATGGAGCTCGTAAGGACTCCGTTTTCACTGGCAGAGGGTTGCAGGAGGCTATCTCAACTGAAAACGGAACTCGGGAGCCCATTTTCATTAGCAGGTGCTCGGGCCACCACAGGTGCCCCCGACACAAGTGAGGTCGAAATGCCCCCCCAAGGTCAAATACAACCCTGATGTGGCCCTCAATGAAATCAAGTTTGACACCCCTGCTTCAAACCAACCAGCCGACTTGAAGCCTAAATGACTGAGCAGGCACAAATAATCTTTCCTGTTGGGAGCAGAATTGTTCTCTTTGCCACATACATGCACGCACACACAACCAGGAACAACTTTTGTGTGCAAGATTACAAAGGATGTGTTTACACAGCACGTCTTATGAGTATTTTATTTTACAGGCTCATCTTTTCTGGTTCAGCTTTATGGCTCAGCCTACATGTAATTTTCCACTTTAAAAATTCTAACTTACACACAGGATCAAGAAACTTCCAATTAGAAAGTCTGTAGAGATTCTCAGCCATCATGGTCATGGTTGTCCCAAAGGTGCTTTTTTCAGGAGGCAACTGGACTGTCTTTGTTTTTTTTTCTTTTGAAGAGATTTCGCTTCTCATCCAAGAAGCTTCTTCAGCTCTGACAGGATTTTTCATTCCCTTCCATTTCTCCACTATCCTGTCAGAGCTGAAGAAGCTTCTTGGATGAGAAGCGAAACCTCTTCCAAAGGAAAAAATAACAAAGACAGTCCAGTTGCCTCCTGAAAAAGCACCTTTGGGACTTTCAATTAGAAACATACGCTTTCCTTCAGAATAGATAAGGGAAAGCCAGCAAGTGAAGCAAGAATGGCAGTAGAAATAAATGTCCTTATTGTTTAGGACAGAAACAGACCTAACTTGCTGTTGACCTTTTTAAAAAAAAGGTTTTTTGTTGTTATTAGTTGCAAAGTTGTGTTCCATCCATTGCGACCCCATGGACAGCATTCCTCCAGGCCTTCCTGTCCTCTACTATCCTTTGGAGTCCATTTAAGCTCACACCGATTGCTTCAGTGACTCCATCCAGCCACCTCATTCTCTGTNCACCGTGTCCCCGTTATACACCATACTTAAGGTTTAAGGATTTATTGTATTTCAAGAAAAGGTCTCCTTGGTTTCACAATTCTATGAAATGGAAATGGTGCTTACATGTCTTTGTGAAATTGAAACACTAACTCAATGTTATATGCAGCTCAGGTTAATCTATCCATGAAAGCAAGTTTCGAAAGGTTCTTATTGTCACACCCCTGTGCATCCTCAATATAGCACTCAGGCTCTGGGATGCCCAGAAATGAACACAGAGTATAGAGAGGGGTGTCAAACTCAATTTCATTGAGGGATGCATCAGGGTTTTGTTTGACCTGAGGGTGACTGGGGTGTGTGTGGGGAGTGGGCAAGGTGGGCATGGCCATTTTGACGTCACTCAGGTTGGGGGTGCCTGTGGCGGCCCAACTGCTCTGCCAGAGAAAATGCCGTCACAGCCCAAAATGGAGCTCAGCATCCCATTTTCACTGGCAGAGGCACCACAGGTCAGTCCTTTACTTTTTCCAGGGTGACTCCATGGGCCAGATCTAAGCACCCTATGGCAAGCTATGGTCCATGGACCTTGAGTTTTGTTGTGGCCCGCTAGTGGCCAGCAGAGCTGGCAGCAGAGTCGGACAGTGAGTAGGTTGGGGAGGACCATGGGCCAGTCCTCCTCGGATGAGGGCTCTGTGTCAGAAGCAGAGATGGGGCTGAGGCTGTCTGGCAGTGATCAGGTGCCTATGGATCTAGAGAGCAGTGAGGCAGAGGAACAGCTAGAGAAAGAAAAGAACAACTCAGAAATCAAGGTAGACTTGGGAGTAAAGTCACAGGTAGAAGGTGATTGGTCCCTCTCGTAGGAAATAAAAAAATGGGAGTGAAAGGGGAGTGGGCTTTTGCAGGAAATAATTCATTCATTTGGTCATTAGATTAATTTCAGGAGTGTGAAGATCAGTCCTTGAATCTCAGAGACTCTGTTCCCAGACTTTCCTTGCACAGCACCTCATTTGGAAAATATTTATATGGCAGCTAGATAAGGTCTGTGGTCATAAATATTCCTTTGAAAGACTGTTTGTCAGGCTTTGCTGAATGTGAATGAGAGGAATTCACATTCATTTAATAAAAAAGTTTTGTCGGGACCAGGACTCTGCCACATGCTTTTTAGGGAAGCCTAGGTCAGAACAGGTTTGACACCCCTGGTGTTGAGACTAATAGTGGCTAGTACTGGATAAAGAGCAAATCTTTTCCTGGAGGGTTACCACCACTAGTGTTAGCTGAGAATCTTTCTCGCTCTGGACTAAAACAGTAGAGTCTCTGTAGTTTTCTTATTAACTGGAGTATTCTGGCCGAAAGCGGGTGTTACAAAGACTGGATGACATCAAATGTCACTTTGAAGCCAGCTGACTCTCTCAGTGCCCCAGGCAAATGCTAAACATGGGCTTTTGAGGACTTGAAAGCTATTTGTAGAGCCTTCTTTTTTTCTAGCTGGAGTAAAGGGTATTCCAGGGCCAGACATCACATCCTTCTATCCATTGTTATTATCAGGTAGGTATGCCAAAATTCCACTTCTTCTTACGGCTTCATTTTTTATTGCAACTTTTATAAGGCTGTTTGAAGGACAACATAACCTCCCCCACCCCTTTTTACTATGTTCACTTGGGAAAACAGATCATTTTAATATCCACTTTTTAACTGTTTGACTCAAAGCCTGAAACTACCTACACAATAGGTAAATTTACTGTTGCAGCAGTTAAAACAAGGCAGCAATCAGCAACAACACAACCAGACAATCTTTTCTTTTTCCATCTGTTTAATTTTTGTCAGGTTTTATCTATTGCTGATCTCTAATAACAAAGAATTTTGATTTCAAATTGTATTTGTAGCATAGGCTTAAATTGACCCCACTTTCCTCCCCTCCTCAGGTGGACAATCATCTAGCATCTACATCTGGAGCTAGGAAAAGACCCAGAAATGTAGCCTGAAAAAGAAAAGACAGTCAGTTCTGATTGGCCCTTCATCCAGTGGTGGGATTCAATTTTTTTTTTACTATCAGTTCTGTAGGTGTGCCTTGGTAGGTGTGGTGAGGTTTGTTGAACATGACAGACATGGCAGGGAAGGATACTGTAAAATCCCCATTTCCTCCTGATCAGCTGGGGACTCAGGAGGCAGAGAATAGATGGGGCGGGGCCAGTCAGAGGTGGTATTTACTGGTTCCCCGAACTACTCAAACTTTTTGCTACCAGTTCTCCAGGTCTGGTGAGAATCTGCTGAATACCATCTCTGGCACCGACTGTGATGTTTCCTGGACTGGGAAGCTCATTCCTTGGTTACCACACATACAGAATGAATGAAGCTGACCTTGAAAATCAATCAGAGCTAGACCTGCCAAGTACAGAACCCAAGAATGTGTGCAGTGATGAGTGGACTACACCATGCCCACAAAACAGCACTGCTCCATAGGCTGTGCTGGTTACTTCTTAGCTTCTAGATACAGTTCAAGGGACCATCTGCCATTTTGAAAGCCCTACATGACATAGGACCCATTATTTAAGAGAGAGAATGTCTCCCATGGTTTCTGTACATCTAGTAAACCTTGGTCCTTACCTAGTCCTATCGATTAAAAAATATCACCTAGGAGGCCTTAAATGGTTGATCTCCTATGTCATAACACCTGTCCCCTGAACCAGCAACATGTGCCCTGCCTCATCAGTCTTTAACATTTAAGCATTAAGAAACTTTTTCCAGTCCTTCAGTTACAAGGAGTTTTTGTCTGTTTTTCTTTC